ACATTTCTATGTATGTGAAATCTTCTAGAATAATTATTTTAATGAGGCCTGTTGTTCTTGGGGTGGGAATAGCAAGTAAGGTAATAACTGTGAACACGGGATCAGAGCAGTGTAGATCTGGGCTCAAATCACGGTACTGCCATCCCCTAAGAGCGTGACCTTAGGCAAGCTATTGAACCTTGAAGCCTCAGTTTCCTCATCTGTGGAATGGGGGTGTGGAAATGACATGATCGCTGGGAGGATGAAATGGAGTTGTGCATATACAACGTTTGGCTCATATTAACAAGCAGAAGAACTGCCTCACGAACCAGCCTGTGGATGACAGCCAAGGTTTTCGGAAAAGAAATGTTCTTTTTCCACTGCAACGTGACCTCGTGAGCCCAGTAATATATGACATGTAACAGGTACCAAAAACTATTTCCAACAAACATGTGAATGGTAATGTTGACATAATATTCCGCAAGCGCCCAGTGCTCTAACCTACCTACAGGAATGTCAACCTTGCTTAAGAAGAACTGGCATGGTCCCTGCGCGTTCCTAACTCCTGGGTCTTGTCCTGGTGTCTCTGCTTTTGCAAACCTTTTACTCAAATGACAGAGATGCTGTGCTTCCCAGGGGAAAGATGTGTTGAATGCTGGCCTCTTGTTGCATTAAGAGGGAGGGATGGAGGGAATATGCCCCGAAAGAGCCAAGGACGCCGCAGAGGAAGACACGAGGCTCACCTGGAAGGGAAGGGAAAGAGGCACGGAGGAGGACTGGAAGAGGGGAGACGAGAAACAAAAGCCCCGGCAGAAAAGAAAACAAAAGGTGGACTTTGTTCAGTGAGAATCTCACCATCTCATCTGCTCGGCTTTTCCGAAACAACAAAGCATGAAGGGCAGGGGACACAGGTTGGATAAATAACCCTGGTGGACTGGGAAAATGGAGTGAAAATCAGAGTGAAGGGAAGAGACCAAAGGTAGGGCAATTCCAAAATAAGCAGAGAACACCTCCTGACTACCTGTTTCCCAAAAGATGACGGAAAGACACTGAGACACGGCCCTCAGACCCAAGCACAGAGCCCAGAAGATTCAGGGAAAAGTCGCCTCCGGTTATTTCCTGCGGAAACACTGCTGGTTACATCATCCTGGGGGCAGACACTGAAAGGTGTCAATAAGGTTATATTCGAGTCATCACAATGGACGTATAAGCAAAAGGGAGAAAATTGAAAAAAAGAAAAGATAACAATAGCCCAGGCAGGCTTTGGGGGAGAGAGGAGGTCACTGGCCCAGGTCCTCCTCCAGCAGCACCCTTGCCAGGCACACTCCATTTCTGGGAGCAGGGCGCCAGGTCTGCTGATGGAAGGTTTCCCCCCAACCACTGCTGTGGAAGAGGTGGATGAGCGTGCTTTCTGCAAGGCACACAGTCTTCCTCTGATAGGCGATCTCTGCTTCCCGCCTGCAGAACGGCCCGCCACTCTCCCAGCCTGGGCTGAGTCCCTGTGCCCTTCTCCTTCCCCTCTCCTCCTCCAGCCTGGCCCAGCAGGAGCCCTGAGGCTGCTCTGCTGCCCCCTCAGCCCTCAGCCCCCAGGGATACGCAGCCTGTTCCAGCTGCACACTCAGTGTGGGACACCGATGTCAGCTCACGGGAAGTCCGAGCCCCACACGAAAGCCCGAGGCCACATCACCCTAGCCTCTCCCAGCGCTCCCTGAGTGGCAGGGTCTCCAGCGCAGGAGCCCCTTGCTTCCCACCGAGGGCTGTGGGAAGATGGCTTCTCTGAACGGACTTAGCCAACACCGAGGTCCGTATGACCAGAGGGGCTTCCCACACCCTCCTCATCCCACTGGACCACAGCCTAGCGATGCTGGGTGGGTGGGCCCTTCCCCTCCACAGGCACCACAGGCAGGACCTAACCCCCAGAATCACCCCGCGCTCCTCCAACCTGCTGAGTGTGGCTCACGAGGGTTTTCCTAAATAGCGTGTGAGATCCATGAGGAGAAAATGGGTTCAGGAGGAGGAAACAGAGCACTGCTTCTCAAGCACCCTGGCCTAGGAAGCTACATTTCTAACAGGCTCCATAGGGGATTCTCACAGAAAGGGGCCCAAGGATGGTGTCACTGAAAAACAGCACATAAAGAATCACATAAATGATGACACACTACAGGCTGCACATCCACATACAAGGGAATGTCCAAGAAGTCACTTCCGGGACAGTGGCAGCAGGTAAGACTTGTAGCTAAAGTCTGCTCATCCTCTCCGTGAACAACGCGTTGCACGCTTGGACCGACACTCCGATACACAGTAGCTAGAGCAGCAACACTTGGAGGAGGCGCCACACAAAATAGACCTAGACAGTTCACAGTCCTGCTTCTGCAGTCAACCAAAGGCACTGCACAGACCTTGGCCTGACAAGAAGTTGTTTCCTTGGCTCCTCTGTGCTGTCTGGGTGCCAGGTCCCGAGAGCCAGGGCTTCATGTCGATGCTTCACCCCAGTGTACCCTAGAACCTGTTCTCTAGCTCTGTGCCATGACCCTGTCAACCCCCCGCCCCCGATCTCTCACTGCAGCACTGGGCCTCTGCCCCACCTTGCTTGGCAACATTTTCCCGGCCTCACACCACCGTCCCTGACTCTTGTCCTGCGCTGGGAGGCCTCACCTGACATGGAGCCTGCATCCCAGGGCTGGCAGCCCCATCCAGGACTTCACCTGGTAGACATGCCCTACGGTGCCATCTGTCCCTACAGTAAACTCTGGGTGAAACCAGCCTCCTCCTCCTTCTATTCCCAGGGCCTGGCACCACCTCTTACAGCCTTTCTGGGACTGGAAGAATTTGACCTGCCTTCCCAGGGAACAATAAACAGAAATGGGGCATTGGGGCCACTGTCCTCAAGGCAGCTGGGAAGTGAATGAAAAACACTGACAGTTCCTTCACTAGGGAAAAAGACAGAGTCTGAGGGAGAGTTAGGATGCCTGGAGTCAAGGGCAGAGTGGAAGGGGACGGGGACATACATGAGTGTAGTCTAAGTGGAAGCTGAAGTTTCAAAGTCCCATGAAGCCTTACAAGGTCATAGAGGCAAGAGAATAGCTTTTAGATCCCAGCCTCAGTTTCCTCATCTGCAAGATGGGTGTGATAGTTACTATAAGGATCAAGTGACATAATGGGTTCAAAACACTTTGCCAACCGAAAATAAACTATATTTCTCCTGAGGCATAAGTATTTCTAAAAAGGAGGCTACAGGAGTTTACAGGCTCAGTAATAACAGGAAGTGGTATCTGTGCAAAGGCTTCAAACTGTTGAGCCCCAACAGGGCTATGTGGTGGAGGCCTCGCGCGGGGGACACTGAGGGCATTTGTGTAAGGGGTGCCACTCTTGTCGCTGCTCAGGCTTCTGGTGAACAGGTGCCAGGAAATCCCACAGCCCGCTCCAATGACAGTGACGCTTGCTGACTGGCCAAAGGGCAAGGCTTGGGAGCAGGCAGAGAGGTGTTTCTGAAAGTGTGAGCCATCATATAAGAGTCACCTGCACACTAATCTAATACATTCCTGGGCTCCATCCCAGGCCTGCTGAGTGAGACACTTTGGAAAACTGTTATTTTAATAAGCGCCTCCAGTGACTCTTAGAAAAGTTTCACAGGAGCACAGAAATATTCGAAAAGCTGTGCAGTCGGGAAGACCTGGGTCAAATCTGAGTACCACGACCTTGCTGCTGTGTGACACTGGGCAGGTTTACTTAACTTCTCTGAACCCGTTTACTCTGTTTACATAAATATGGAGCATAACCACTGCAGTGTTGCTGGGAGGGAGAAAGGCACTCAGCTACAGAGGCAGCATCCATGGCTTCATCCAAGCCATGAGTGCCTGTGTCTAAGGCATTCATGAATGCCTGCCTCTAAGAGGCAAGAACCACTGTGACCCTCCTCTTTTAGGGGAACAATCTGCCACTAAGAGGGAATAGGGCTTCCTAGGGTCTCCGCATGCATGATGGAAGCCAGATGCCGCTAATGTTCTATTCAGAAGCCCATCTCAGTCCCTGTACCAGGGTCAAGCAAGGTGAGGCAGGAGGTAAGGATGGGCTGAGCTTTGGAGGAAAGCTAAGACGACCAACCTTTCTCAGGGACAGGGCCTTGAGGTGGTCCAGGCTGCTGCACACAGCTCCAAGATGGATCTACCAAGGGGCTCTCTTGGGGTGGAGAGCATAAAGGCTGAAAAGGCTGCAGGCCTCTGGACAGGCCCCCCCGAGACTCTAAAACTCAGGAAGGGAAGAGCAGGAGAGGTCCATCGCAGGGTCACCCCAGTACTGCCTGTAGCAGAGCTCACAAACCCCCCACAGCCTCTTTCCCTGAGGAAGCAAGTTAAGATGAAAAAAATCAGGCAGGCAGCTATCGGGCGGTGCCTGGCTGGCGGCTCATGGCTCACAGTGGAGGATGGACACTGCTGTTATTTTCCCTGCCCTGGTACCTGAGCTGTGCCAGGCACATCGGGACTTGGCGGCAGTTTCACTTTGCTGCTGTCCCGAGCCGAGCTGTTATCAGACCGAGCTCTACTGTCCGGTGCCGGCTGTTCCCAGACCACTGTGCCCGGCCGAGGACTGAGGTGGGGACTTGGTGCCGGCTGTTCCCAGACCACTGTGCCCGGCCGAGGACTGAGGCAGGGACTTCAGGCCAGGGGGCCAGGCTGGCTTTCCCTGCCTTTCACTTCAGATGGGGGTGGCTGCGGATGGGGATGTCCAGCGGCCGTCGGTTTCTAGCCCTGGGATCATTCTGGCTCCGTCACGGAGTGACAGGGGATTCCCCACGCGTCCCCGTATCCAGGGCGTCCCTTTAGCCGCGGCCGGGGCGCAGAGGGGCCTTGGCGGCGCTGTGGCTTCGGCTGGCACCAGGTCCCGCGCAGCGGGGCCCTCCACCCTGAGTGGAGCTGCCCTCCAAGCACCCAGCCCCTGCCAATCACCGCGCCCAACACCAAGTTCCCGGGGCGCCCTGCCTCGGGCCACCCAGCGCTCGCTCGCGCGCCCGCCCGACTCACCTGCTGAAGACCAGGCAGCCCAGGTGGTTGATCTTGTGGTCGGAGCGGTGGCGGCTGTAGTCCTCCCACAGGTCCCTGAAGGCCGTGATGGCCAGGATGAAGAGCACCGGCGCCAGCGCCAGGCCGGGCTGGAAGGCGTTCACCGCCGGCACGAAGTTGAGCAGCGCGATGAAGACGAAGTACACGTTGGCCGGGCGGTGGAACTGCTCGAACAGGTTCTTGGGCAGGAAGGACAGCAGCGTGTACTTGGTGGTCTTGAGCCGGTTGTCGGCCAGGTGCTGGGTGCACCCGCGCCGCCGCCGCCGCTCGCCCTTGGCCGCGCCAGCCGCAGGGTCCTCGGCGCCCGGGGGCGGCAGCAGGTTGGAGCGCACCGTGCGCGTCCTGCCCTCCCGGCGCCGCCGCCGTCGTCCCGGAGGCCCGGGCTCCTCGGTCCCCGCCGGTTCCCGCTCCATGGCCGCGTGTCGCCGCGCCCGGCTCCTCCGCCACTCACGCCCGCCTGCGCCGGCCTCTTAGGTGATCATCACTCGCTGCCCGGGCGCGGCGGTGCGGGCTCCCCGCCTGCGGGACGCACGGAGACCGCGGTCAGCGCGCCCGGCCCGCGCCCAGCCCCGTCCACTCCCGTCCAGCCCCGCCGCCCGGCCGCAGTCCCCAGGGCGCAGGCTGGGCGGGTGCCGCACAGGGCCCCCTTGTCCGCGCCGCCCGCCCCCGGCCCGGGTCGTTTCCGCCGCGGTGGCCACGGCCCCGCCCTCGCTCCGCGCCCGGACTGGGCCACGCCGGATAGCGGGAAACAAAAAAAGCCTGAGCTGGAAACTTCAGAGAGGTTTAGTTTCGTTTCCCAGAAGCACCAGTCCGGTCCCAAAACACTGCAAACGCGCGCTGGCTGCAGTAGGAGAGAGGAAACCGCGAAGCGCGAGAAAAGGCGCCGCCGTCCCCAAGCAGCCCGCGCGCCCTTCCAGGGGCCAGATCTGCTTCATCCTGGACGGCGAAACGACCTGGGAGACCCCGGTTAGGACCCTACTCCGGGGATCAACTGGAATCAGAATCCAAAGGAGCCATGGCATCCAGTGCTCCAATTTTTAAAATCTTTTTTACGGAGGACCTCCGTTCCTGGAGAGCCCTGGGAAGGGCGATTCCGCGTTGCCTCTGAGACCTTCTTCCCTACCCCCCTGCCCAGCCCCCACCACCACTTTCAGATTCCGTTCTTGGGTGAACTAGACAGTTTCCTTTCCACCATCATCATCACTGTCCTTCCTCTCCTAAATTCTTTTTCTTTTTTCTGTTCTTTTTTTCGTGGAAAGGAGAAATATATCGCTATAGCAAAGATAGGATTTGGTTTGCAGGTATTTGAGTCTCTATTTCCCTCCCTGGGAAATCATGAGGACCGAAACGCTCCTTGTGCGCTGTAGCTCTGAGGTGGCTGTCATGGCCCAGACGGTGGGGGAGGCGAGGATGGTTGTGGGGAAAAGAGGGGAGGGTCAGGAGTGTGTCCCAGAAGTGTGGGGCGAAGGGCTTCCCTCCGTATCATGGGGCATCCGAGAGGGGGCAGGAGAATAAGCTCGGCGTGGAAAAAGGGGCTGGGAGTCCCCCATGTCCGCAGTGAGACCCCACAGATGTCCCACGGCTATGACTGTTTGCCTCCCACTCAAGAAGTACAGAGATGAGAAGCAGTTATTTCTTGCCCAGGAGGCCGTGGCTGGAGGGCTGGCCCTGGTCCCAGGCTCTTCCTGGGGGTGCCTGCTAACAAGGCCCTGCCCTGGATGGACTCAAATCACTTAAGTCTTCCCCAGGACCCTGGCTTGGGGTGGCCCTCTTCTCCCGCACCCTGGCTTACCCGGGTCCAGTTGTGACATTCTTACATAGTTACCCAGTTTTGCCACCATCCACAATGTTCCCCAGTGTTAGAAGGTAGAGTGGTGACAGGTATGAAGAAAATAATCCCGTCCCCCAGTCACAGGGGTGTGCTTTTAAGATGTAGAGGCCCAGATCAGGGAAGAGTTTGGCTGAAATCTGCATTGTCAGGGAAAGGAGTCAGGTCTCACAGTCAATCAGCAGCAACCCAAACAGAGCATCAACTGCGAATGAAGGCCCACAGCACCCGCAGCCTCGCAGCCTCACATCTCATGGCTCCCTGTTTTCCTCTAGCAGCCCACCGGGTGACCCCCGAGGCCTTCGGCCTCCCTGTACTTCCACAGTGGCCTCCTGTCTTCACAGGCATCCCCTGTGGACCCTTGGCCCAAACCCTCCAGGGGTGTCGGCGCCTCCCAGACTGCTAGCTTCAGCCAGTCCACATTGTTGCCAAAGTAATTACCGCCTCATTCCATTTGCTTACCCTGGAGCTTCCAGGAGTATCCTGGTGCTTACAAAGCCAAATGCTGATTCCTCAGGCAGAGGCCCCTTGAGGCCCTGAGGGAACTGGCACCAACTTGCTGATTTTCTTCAGCACCTCCCTGGTTCAGACCCAGCCCCAAGGCAAGAGGTCTCCTTATCCTTCTCAGAACAGTCCTTGCTCATCCCATCCACATTCCACCCTAAGGTTCCAAGATTCTGTGAGTCACAATGGTCCCCAAGTCTGGAATATTCTTCCACCTGCTCTTCCCCAGTCCAAAGTCAGGATTTCCAGGAGGGCCTAGCTCAGCTGCTCACCTCCGGAAAGGTCTCCACGCTGTGTGATCCAGGGAAACTTGGAGGGGTTTTGAGCTCAGGTGTCTTCTGCCAGCTGGACTCTAAGACCCTGGCCTGTCGGGACGAGGACAAGGCTCTGATGTGGTCTGGTCAACTCAGGGCTGGCCATCTGCAACGCCGGGCTCTAACAGGGGCTTGCCGTAGGCCCTGCGAACCATTGTAACTGTCCTTGTTTGGCAAATACCTACTCATCACCTGCCTTATGCCCAGCAATGTTCCAGGCACAGGAATTCATCGGAGGGCTAGGGAAGACAAGACGTTGTCATGGAGCTGCAGCAACCGAACAAGAAACCATGAGACCCCCGTGGAGGGCTTAGGGACGGATGAGGGAGGGCGTTTCCAAAGAGGGGCATTGAAGTTGAAACCTGAATGGGACAAGATCAGGTGCAAGAAGCTTCCAGACAGAGGGGGAAGCTCTGTCAAAAAGGCCCCAAAGAAGGAGAAATCGCCATATGTTTAAGAAACAGGTGGGGCCGCTGCCTCACACTCATTCCAAAACCTTCAACCCCACAGCTTCTGCTTTAGGCGATGGGGACACCTGGGAAACATAGCAAGTCTCTGCTCCCCAGAACACTAAGTCCTCACCTGGGAATACCAACAAAGACGGCTCAGAAACTGAAGGGACACCTGAAACCAGGGCTGGGAGGGGTGGGCTCCTGCTCCTGTCAATAGGGTGGTCGGAGGAGGCTTCCCGGCAACACGAGCGGAGGCCTGGGGGCACAAGCTGTGCAGGCATCTAGGGAAGAAATGGCAAGCGCGTGGCGGGGTGGGGGTGCGTTCAGGGATTTCAGGCTCAGCAGGGAAGCCGGGGTGGCTGGAGCTGAGTGGGAGATTGGAGACGTGGCCTCGAGTGGGGTCATGTGGGGCCTTTTGGATCCTGGTGAGGATTTTAGCTTTTGAGCGAGAGCGAAAGCCTTGGGAGGATTTTGAGCAGAGGCATCAAGTGGCTTTACCGAGGTTTCCAGAGATCGCCCCTGCTGCATTGTAAATAGAATGTAGAGGGCCAGAGCAGAAGAAGGGAGACGTCTTGGCGAGCGGTCACTGCAGTGATCCTGCAAAGGCGCTGAGGCTCAGGCTGGGTGGCCATGGTGGAGGTGGGACATGGCCTCAGAGCATGCGGGACATGCTGTTGGACTGGTTGTGAGATGTGCAAGAAAGGAGGTGAAGGTGGCCCAGCAGCTAAAAACCCAAGTTTCATCTACTGAGCTGGGAAGACAGAGGACGAGGCAGAACTGGATGTGCTCACCAGCCCTCAGGAGCAGGAGTCATGCTGGCAGTGGTGCAGGAATCTGACGTCAGGGGAGAAGCTTAGCTGGAGATGTAGTCTGGGGTCAAGAGCAGGTCTGGGTGCAGGAAAGGGTAGCCATGAGGAATAGCGGAGTGGCTAGCGTTTGGGGCTTCACTGGCCTTTGGAAGGAACAAGTCTCTAAATTTGCTCCAAGTGCAATAGGAAGCCAGGGGCTGCCCCAAGCAGAGAGGCATGAGATGAGAGGATCTTATATTCTCTTTTAATAGATAGAACATCGATTCAGAGCACAGTTGGAGCAGGAGAGGTGTAAATTAAGAGGTGGCTTAGACCTGGCAGCGGATAGACACACATAGACAAATTGGAAGTACGTCTTCCAAGTAGAGCTAATGTGACTGGCCAATAGGTTGGATGTTTCAGTGAGGAAAATAAATGAACAGGTTTAAGGAGAAAATGCAAGCTCAGCATCAGCCATGTTAAGTGTGAGACGGCAAGTGGGCAGTGGCATATCGAAGACTCAGACATGACAGCAAAGGTCTGCACTGGTGACACAGCTGTGGGGGATGCTGGGAGACACCTGCGGTTTAGAGCTATGTGATGAGATCGCACCTAGATGCACCAGATGCGCACAGGGCATAAACAGAGCACAGAGAAGAGACTCTGGGTGTTACTTTCCAACTAAGAACTGAATGAGACAATCATCAAGATTGTTTCCAGTTTTCAGGTACCAAGAATCAGTACCTCTAATGGCTGGTGAAATAAGTAATTATGCAATAAGAATCACAGTCTAAAACATTTTAACCTGACAGCATTAATATTTACTCTAGTGATTGCCCTTACAAATAGGCATAACAGATTCTGACATTTTTAAATTTTTTATTTTAAATGTTTTTAATTTTTTGGCTGGGCATAGTGGTCCATTCCTGTAATCCCAGCACTTTGGGAGGCCGAGGTGGGCTGGATCACTTGAGGTCAGGAGTTCAAGACCAGCCTGGCCAACATGGTGAAACCTCGTCTCTTCTAAAAATACAAAAATTAGCCTGGGATGGTGATGCACACCTATAATTCCAGTCACTTGGGAGGCCTAGGAAGGAGAATTGCTTGAACCAGGGAGGTGGAGGTTGCAGTGAGGCGAGATTGCACCACTGCACTCCAGCCTGGGTGAGAGAGCAACACTTCATCTCAAAAATAAATAAATGAATAATTTCCATTTTTAATTTTTAGAAAGAGACAGAGTCCCCCTATGTTGCCAGGGTGGCCTCAAACTCCTGGGTTCAAGCAATCCTCCTGCCTGGGTCCAGCCAGATTCTGAAATTTGTAATATGAAAAAGCAGGCACAGATGCTATCTATTAATTAATATGACCTCTGCATCACCCAAAAAGTTCCAAAATACAGAGCTGTGGAATTTTAGATAAAAGTAATTCACTAATGATTGAATAAGCTGAATCTATGATTACGTACATAATCCTAGAAATACAAAATTCTGGCCAGGCACAGTGACTCACACCTGTAATCCCAGCACTTTGGGAGGTCGAGACAGGCGGATCACCTGAGGTCGGGAGTTCAGACTCGCCTGACCAACACGGAGAAACCCCATCTCCGCTAAAAATACAAAATTAGCTGGGTG